GAAGAGCGGAGGAGGGCCTCACTCCCAACCTCAAGCCAACCCTCCCCCAAGTTTCTGGGGGTGCTGCTTGGCGCCCCCAACCCGATGGGCCAGGCCGACTCCCCGTCTCGGGGGCTAGGGTGGAGGGCAGGGGTTCTCCCCGGCTCTCTCTCACCTTCAAGCGTCCCTCTTTCGAGGCCGGTCGCCCCCGCCCCGCTCCCCGGTCCCGGCGCCCCGGCCTCCTCAGATAGCGGTGTCCCAGAGGACTGTGTGCTGCCGGCGGCAGGGCGGGGTGCCGGACTTGCGGGGCTCAGGCCCGCGCCGCCAGCTGGGGAGGATGGGCATGCTCTCCTGCTTGCAGAGGCCGCGGTCGGGCCGGTGGCGCGCCTTGATCTCCTTGCACACGCAGCGCTTGCGCTCAATCACCTCCAGCAGCTTGCCGTCGCGCTCGCGGGTGGCCTGGGGCGGCAGGGGCAGCGGCAGCGGCAGCGGCAGCGGCAGCGCAGGCTGGGTCTGTGCCCCTTCCTCCCGCCGCCGGCCCCGACGGGGATGGTGGGGGAGGGAGGAATAAGGGGTCAAGGACCTCAGAGTCACCCGGCCCTGTCCCCACCGCCGAGCGCCGAGGCCAATGCGTGGCCCAGAAACAAGTCCTCTCTTGCCCCCAAGGCCTCCGTCCTCTCTCCCTGCGCCCTGGTGCCAGGCGGTGCGTGTCTCACCCAAGGAAGGGGCGCCTTTTCAAAGCCGTCTTCCCAGCAGGATGCATTTTTCCACCCAGAGGGGATGTCTCTTTCTAAACGCAACGCACAAAGGCGCACGTCGGCCAGTGGCGGCCCTGGCTGGCTACCCAGGATCCCCCCCAACCCCCTCGCTCTCCAGCCGTCCCCGTTAGTCTGTGGCAGGCCCCAGCCTGAAGTCTTGCCTTTCTTCCCTCACCCGAGCCTTCTTGCCTACCTGTTCCTTCACAAATAAAATGCCCAACCCCGTCTCCCTCCTCACCTGGCTCGGGGCATCCCTGGGCTGGCTGCAGGGCCGAGGGGTGTGGAGCGCGGCCTGCCGGACTCCTGAGGTGGAGGCGGAGCGCCCCAGGCGGTAGCCTCCCGTGAAGTCTGAGGCAGAAGACTGAGAGGTGAGAAGGGAAGGGGCCTCCACGTTCCCCTCCCCCAGTTCCCTGAGGACAGCCCCTGCCATGCTGCCCCCCGCCCCAGCCTCATTAGAGGAGGAAAGGGGTTGGAGATGTGGTATTAGACTGTAGGGCCCAGGGGTTTCCCTGGTGGCACAGTGGTTGGGAGTCCGCCTGCCGATGCAGGGGACGCGGGTTCGTGCCCCGGTCCGGGAGGATCCCACATGCCGCGGAGCGGCTGGGCCTGTGCGTCCAGAGCCTGTGCTCCGCAACGGGAGAGGCCACAGCAGTGAGAGGCCCACGTACCGCAAAAAAAAAAAAAAGAATGTAGGCCCCAGGATGAGGACCCTGGGAGATTCCCCCCCAGCCTGCCCATCTATGTGCTGGTGTACAAGGGCTGAGCGTGTCACCTCCGTTGCGGTGGCAGGCGGGGAAGGTCTGGCAGGGTATGGGCAGCACGGGGCGGCTTCCTCCTCGGTCCCCTCCGTGGTGGATCCTGGCCAGCAGGCCCTCTGCCCCCTGGCTCCTCACTGGGATCCCTGATGCCACAGAGCCTCTGTCCTCACGCTCCACCTTGCCTGCACCCTCGGCACTGCCATTCCAGGCCTGGACACTGTCCTCGACCTCTGCTGGGTGACAAGGAGAGCTCTGAGACTGTACAATGAGAAGGTTCTTGCTGTCCCCCCAGCTATGCACACCGCGGCCTGGGTGGACCAGAAGTAACTTGCCCCGTTGCAGGTCACAGCTGGGAAGGGAGGGGCCCTGCTTCACACAGAACATACACAGAAGGAGGGACGCCAGTCCTGGCACCACCCCTGGGCTGAGAATCATAGATATTTACTGCTGCCAAACCCTTTTCCCTGTTCAGAGGGGTCTCCCCTACCCCAGTTTAACTTCAGAGCCCCTCCAGCCCCAGACAGTGCCACAATAAACACCGTCTGAAACAGAGACCAGGGGGGCTGTTCCCTAGGATGGGGAGAATTCCCAAAGCCGGGAAGTGAGAAGGGGGGCATTGGGGGAAGGGCTGCATGTGAACTAAGCTCATCTCCCAGAGTAAGCCTGGCAGAGCATTGCGTTGCCAAGCAACGGCAGGGGCCTCCCTCTCCTCTCCCTCCTGTCTGGATGGGTTACCATGGTAACGGCTGGGAGGCAGCTGTGTTTAGCTCCTAGTGTGCGCACACTCACAAACACACACCCCTGCAGCCCAGTGAAGGGAAGGGCAGGGAATAGAGCGGGACAGGGCAGGAGGAGGAGACCAGATTCTACCCCGTTCGCATCCCAGGTCTTCCTGCCCCTCCAGAGCACACACGGGGACCCCATCCCTTCAGTCTGCTGAATGCCCCCATCCCTCTTGTCTCCCAGAAAAGTTCCCAGTTCAGGACAATGGGCTGTGGCTTCCAAGTATGCCCTTCAACACCTCCCCCAAATCATCACGGACATCCCCTGTCCCCTGCCCGTCACCCCCTCCTCACTCACTGTCCAGCTCTTTCGCCTTCCTCCCGCCATACAGGACCTTCCTCTGCAGAGCCCAGCCTGCCCCAAACGTCGAGGCGCCCATCTCCTCTTCTTCCTCTTCTGGTGTCCCCGCGCTGGCGATGACGTGGGCACAAGAAAGGCTGGCAAAGGCCCCCCCGTCGGTCCCTTGCTCCTGAAGCTGGATCTTGACCACGGGGGATGGAGCCCCCATTCCACAGCCCTTATTCAGCACCCCCCCAGCCTTGAGGCTCTCATAGGCAGGGGGTCTCTTGAGCCCAGCTGCCGCAGCTGGGTAGGTCCAGAGGGGGGTCAGGGGGCCTGCAGTTGGGTCCGGAAGGCTGTGTGGGGAGGCCAGGCAGGCGCGGTGGTGGAGAACCCCAGCTGCTGCACCCATAGCCCCCCCATGGGGGCTGGACTTCCCAGGCAGGGGGGGCCTCGAGCGGGTGCACAGCATCCCGTGGAGGACTGAGATCTCCTTCTCCGTCTTTGGCTCCCCAGCACCCAGGGGCGGACCGGTGGGCAGGACGGAGTGCGTGGTCACCTTGACTGCTGAGTACACCATGGTGTAAGACACGGCCTTGTCCTTGGTAGGGCCGGGGAGCAAGGCAGCCGGGGCAGGAGGGGCTGCCGGCACCCCTGCCGCCTTGGGGCAGATCATGCTGTGGGAATTGGGGAGCTCCCTCTCCCCCCGGGGCTGGCCAGAGCCCTGGGGCGGCAATGGTGTCGAGTGGCTCCGGGCTCGGCCCGAGGGTCCCAGCAGCAGCAGGTTGGCAGCGGGAGGCGGAGGCGGTGGGGGAGGCGTCTCCCGCTCCCGGGCAGGCACTTGGGGAGCTGGGGTGGAGCCGGCTGGCTCCTTGGAGTGGCAGAGGACCGGTAGCCTTGAGACCCCATCGCCAGGGGCTCGGGAAGCAGGCTTGGCCTGGGGAAAGGCCAGGAGAGGAGGACGGTGCTGGAGGAGGTTGGGGAAGGGCGGCGGGATTTCACAAGGAGTGGTCTTGGTGGGCGTGCCCTCCCTCCGGCTCGGGAGGGCTGAAGCTGGACGGCGCTGGGTGTGCAGCTGAAGGGCGTGAGGCTGGTGCGGTGTGGAGCTTGCCGTCGACGGAGGGGCCCCATTGGCGCGGCCTTCCCCGGCCTCCTCGGGCAGCGGGTACTTCATCTCCTCGTATATGGCCTCGCTCTCTTCTGAGTCCGAGTCAGCGCCAGCCGTTGGGGTCGGCCCCCCCCCACCCCCAAGAGGGGGCCCAGTCAGTCCCCCTCCACTCCGCCCTCCCCCCCTGAAGACATCCCCCACCATCTCAATGTACACCGGCTCTTCTTCCTGGGCACCCACCTCAGGGTCCCCAGCTACACAGGACCCCCTACTGAGGCGGTGAAGGGGCGGGTTCCCCCCTCGAGGAGAGGCGGCTGGGGGACAGGACTCATCAAAGGAGACAGAGAGCTGGGTGTTGGGACTTCGCCTGGGCTTCTGTGGAGGAACCTTCCGGCTGGACTCGCGGCCCTCCGGGGTTGGCTTCTGTGAGCCTGGGCAGGAGTGGGAAAGAGAAAAAGAAACCGGGCTCTAAGTCGAGGAAGGAAATGCGGAGACCCACTGTGACCTCTTGACTCACCATCAAGGACATTTCTGCCTCTTCATTTTCCCCACGTCCCTCAACTTACAGCCCCAGTGGGTTCTTTTCCTACCGGTCTGCCTCCTGTCCTTCTAATGAACGCCCCAGAATCTGCAGCTCCCACCCTCAATTCTCCCTGACCCTCAAGGCCCTCCATGGCCACCCCTTTCCCAAGAATGAACTTTTCAGGGATCTTCCCCTGCCCTTGAATGGTTCATCTCGGGCCCTTCCAAAAAGGAACCCCCCCCCACTCCTTCTGAGAATGGAACCTTCCACTTCCTCGGTTCTTCCCTGAATGAACCCTCCCGGCAGGCCTCCCCTGGCCTGGAATGGATCCTCCCAGCTCACGGCTCCTACTGGGCAGGGGTGCTGGTGTCTCACCTGCTTTCTTGCTGGGGGGCGTCTCTGCCCCCGGCCCTGCCATGCTGAGCTTGGTGCTGGGGTGTCTCCGGGGCTTGGCCGGGGGTCTTCGGGTGCTGCCGTCCTCTGTGAGCACCCCCCCGCCCCCAGGCCCGCCCCCCACGCTGTCCATGCTGCCCACCGAGTGGCAGGAGAGGGAGCGTGGGGCCATGGCGCTGCGGCAGGGGTGGGGGGTCTGCTCTTGGGAGGCGGGCATCGTCATGAAGCCCATCCTGAGCGAGCGGCGCAGCGAGGCAACGTCCCGCACGCGGACCCCCGGCCCTGGGCCGGCCCCGGGCCCCGAGGAGCCTGCGGGAGCCCCCTCCTTACTGGAGCTGGGGAGAGAAGGCCCAGATGGAGCAGAGGTCGGGCCTCAGGCCTGGGCCCCCCGCTCCCATACCCCAAGAGGGGTTTGCAACCCTGTGGCCTCCCAGGTAGGGGGAGGGGGGCCGGGGTGGAGATGGGGGTAGCTTGAGGGTCCAAAGCACTAAAGAAGCTTCAGACTGTATTTCTAGGTTTTGAAAAAGGCAAAGATATGGAGGGTAGGGATGAGAGAAGGGGTGAGCCTGTGTGCAAGGGAGCATTCCTGGAGCTGGCCGACCCCAGCCTGGGCATCTCTGGTGCACACACACGTGTGGACAACTTCGTACATAGAGATGCAAACCCAGGCAGCGCAGCCCCACCTGGCACATGCTCCTGCCACCCTGGCTCTGCTCCTTCTCACCCTCGCGCTGGCCCACACCTGGCCTCTGGCCTCCCTTCATGTCTGGCTGCTGCGGCCTCCACTCCCACACCGCCTCCTTTCCCAGACCCAGGCTGTACCGCCACATCCTCAGAGCAGCCTCCCCAGGCTGATCTTCCTCCCTGCCTCTCTCTCTTTCTTTCTTTCCCTCTCCCTCTCCCTCGGTGCTGTCCTCTCTCTGTCACCCTCCCAGGCTCACCCCCCATTCCCTTTCACTGTCTCTGAGCTTCTGTGTAAGTGAAGAGGGGGTGCGGCTGGCAGGGAAGAGGGGAGAGCTGGGGTGGGGTGGGCTCCCATTAAGGCCCTGTCTACTAACCCTTCATTAGGGAGAGATCAGTGCAGTGATAGCTCTGATTAATCTAATTAACAACAAGAATTAAACTCCACAGTTTTGAGGAGGGAGAAGGGAGCAGGGAGGTGGCTCTGACTCAGGCTCCGAGCGGCTGTGCCGTCAATGGGAATGAAGAAGAGAAGGGAGCAAGACAGAAGAGGCCAGGTGCCAGGTCCCCGGGAGGGCAAGGAGAGGGGGCGAGCTGTGTGTGTGTGGGGGGGGGGGGGGGGGGTGGCATGGGGGTCTGGTGCACTAATTTAAGTTCATAGTTCATGGCATATGGTAACCAAATGAGTCCCCCCCCCCCCCACACACAGCCCCATCACTGGGATGGGGCCAAATGGATCGTCTCTGGCGCCCCTCAAATGACCCATCCCTGGACTGTGAGGGCAGCAGGGCCTGCCCCTTCCAAGGTCAGGTGACAGGGGAACCAGGAGCCAGGCCCACACTGACAGAGAGGAGGACATCATAGGCCAGAGGTGAGTCAGGAAGGAGTGTCTTGGGCCTCTGGGGATGGGGAAGAGCCAACAGGGTGTCCCTGGGCTGGAAGCCCCCTGAGAGGCCAGGGCAGGGGCTGGAGCCAGGAGCCAGGAGCCGGGCAGGGACAGGGCATGTGCAATTCCAGCAATTCTGTAGTGAGCATGGGCTCTGAGATCAGACTGATGACCAGGCTGTTGGAGTCAGGAAGGGCAGAGGGATGTGGCCCCGCCACGAGGGAAGCAGAGGTGGGACAGGCGAGGGGGCAATCTGGGATGCGGCCTTACCTCCTCTTGGCCTCCTCTTCCTTGTGCTGCCTCCACTCCAGCTTGGTTTTTCGGTAGAGGAGGTTCATGTCGTGGGGCAGGAGGCAGATGCTGGGTATTCCTGCTCAGCGCCACCAGGCCCGGGGGGCGACCCTCCCTGGGTCCCGGATCCACTTGGTGGGGGGGAATGGAAAGGAAAAATAAAGAAAGATGTGGGGTGGTCGGGGCCAGGAATGAATGAGAAAGAGAGAGAAAGGAGCAGAGATGTGACTCTGGTCCTCAGAGAGAGGAAAACAGATGGAGGCACAGAAAACCCAACACCGCCTCCAGGACCCACACACGTACAGACACAGACGGACATGTATCCAGAGTCACACACCCTGACAAAGGTGTTCAGAGCCACAGATACACACTCTGGAGAGATCAGACTGACACAGAATCCCATCCTGTAAATACATCCTGATCCACCACACAGACAGGCCCCACCAACCTACAGCAACCCTGCAGCCACACAAACACACATTCAGACCCACAAACCACCGGGCCACAGACCAATATCTACCAACAGAGGACCAGACACGCTGACTGGCATAGGTAAACACAACCTAGGAACAGCCAGACACACAGACATAAACACCCCGACACACCCACAGCACACACAGACCTCCAGACACACACAAATCGGCTGCACCGAACTGGACGTACCTATAGACAAGGAGTTATGCCTACTTGCCTACACTGCACCCCGCTGGGGAAGGGGGAGACAGTCAGACTCCCCACCCCCTCTTGGGGCCTGAGGCTGGGGAGTGTCATGAGGGCAGGGCGGGGATGCTGGAGAAAGGGTGGGGGCATTCTGAGTTGGGCAGCTACAAGACCACCCATCCATGTCTCTCCATTCCCTGCCGACCCCCTCACCAGTCCTTCGCCTGGGCCCGGGCTTCCGTCCACCCCTATTCCTGCACCCTGGCCCCTCAACGAAGGTCTCCGCCTACCTCGCTGAGGGCCCAAATCACCTTCCTCCTCAGGGATCTGGGAGGCTCCCGGCTTCCCTCTCGCAGTCCCCGCCCCTACATCCCACCCGGGGGTCTCCAGTCTGGCCTCATAGCTACCTTCTGAGCTGCGGCCTCCATACCTGCCCTGGTTTCCCTTCCCCCAAACACACTCTCCTTTGCGCTTTCTGCCTCACCTCTCCTTCTAGGCGCCCCTCCTCACTGCCGTCCTCTCCCTTCCCTGTTTGTTCCAAACCTAGCCGGCTTCATCCCCCTCTCCATCCAAAGGCCCCAGGTTCCCGGGCACCCCTCCCCTTCCCCTTGTCCCGCTACCCTGGGTTTCTCCGTCTCTCGCCCCGCCAATCCTCCCTACCCCTTGTCCCCCCATCCCACCTCCCCGCACCAAGCCTCCCCAATTTCTACATCACCGTACCTGGCCTGCCGGGCGCCGGCCCCCCCATGCCGGGCTCCGCCCGGAGCAGGAGGAGGGAGGAGGAGAGACAGAGAGAGACCGGGGGGGGGGGGCCGAACAGGGCCCTGCCGCAGAGACAGCCCCGCCTCCGGGTCCGCCCCCAGACCCGCCCCCGGCCCCAAACCCACCCTTCCACACCCTCCAAGGACGGAGCGGGAGTGGCCGTGTTGCGCTGCGCCGCTAGGCTGGGGTAGGGGGCACCGGGCCAGCGGAGCCGGCGGGGGGGACTCGGAGAAACGTCGTGGGGTGCAGGGGACCCGGCGCCAGCCCGCCCCCGCTTTGGGGCGTCCGCTCCTTGTAGCCCCTCGCCCCTGCCCGGCAGGGCCGTGCTGGGTTTGGTGTCCAAGGCCCCGGCGGAGCGAAGCTGGGCGCAGCGCGAAGCGGCAGCGCGCAGCGGCGGCCCCCAGCGGCGACCCGGGGCGTGCACCCACGCGCGTACCCCGTGCAGCCGGCGCTCCCCGGGTGCGCACACCACGTTCGGCCCGGGCGAGGTTGCGGCTGCGGGGCCCGGGGTGCAGTGAGGCGGCGAGGCCGGCAGGGGGGGCCGGTTTCCGGGCTGAGGGGCTCTGAGAGTCGGGAGCTGGACCATCCGCGTCTTTGTCCAGCAGGGGGCGAGCTCCCTGGGCCGCGCCCTGTCTTCCAGCCGCCCCCCAAGTACCGGGAGGGCAGTGGAGCTGGCACTCTTGGTGCTCGTCGCCAATCCCTGCAGGTTCCCAGGGGTCCAGGCCTGTTTCACCGCCAGGGCTCAAAATCTTTTGCCCGTCCGCCCCCGCGGCCCAAGTCATCCTCCCAGTAACCTTTGACTCCGCAAAATAATGAATATAAAGAATAAGTCGTAAATGGCCCCATATATTAAAAGGCTATTACAAATGCCCCTGCGAGAGTTAACACATTAAAATACATAACTGTCCTTTCACATTTACACCTTAGTGTGAATAAACTTTTATTTATTCATTCAACGAACATTTCCACAGAGACCAACAGTGTCCCTGGGACTGTAGACACGGAGGAGTCCAAGGTGATGTTGATTGTCTGAGTTGGTGGGAAGAGGAAGATGCAAAGATAAGTTTGAATAGTTTGTAGCGAGCTATCGCAGAGGGAAGGAGGATCTGGGGGCGGAGCAGCGGGGCTGTGTTCTGAATATTGCCAGAGGGGAGAGGGTCTGGGGGTGGGGGTGGGGCCGTTGTGTGGGAGGCTGCTTCCTGCACCGCACCACTTGGGAGGCCTCAGGATCTGGCTACGGTAGTCATTGTTACTATTTGAAGGGCGAGAGACAGGAGTGCAGATGCATTTTAACAATGAGATGAAGATAAACTGGGGGCAAGGGGGTTTGCATTATTTTGTTTTTGTCTAATCCTAAAGGGTGGTTAAAAATTTCCATGAGCTAAGGCTGAGGAAGGAAGGATGTGTCAGACAGCCCAGAGCTAGTCTCAATGCCATCAAATGCTAGCTCTGAGGCCTTGGGCAAGTAACCCAAGCCTCAGTTTCCTTAGCAGAGACACTGGAGCTCAAAACCCACCCCATTTCTGCCCAGGGCTGTTTTGAGAACCCATGAGAGAATTATGTAGAGTGGACAAATATGAAGAATTTTAATATGCTTGAAAAGAGTTCCATATGACCCAAATTAATTAGAATCCATTTCCTTCTGAACCTGGGAGTGAAGGCAGATACGGTCGTTAGACGCTGCTTTTGCTAAAATAATTATTTTCAGAATGTTGTTGGGGGGCGCAAAAAAAGAGAAAATGGCAGTTGGAGGTTTATTCTTTCATGCCAAGCACATAGTAGGCCCTTTATGAGTGTGTGGATTCTCCACAGTGAGCAGGGGATGGGATGGAGAGGTGGGAAGGGTGAGAGGTGGGTGTGTGGGGAAGGGTCCAGGCTTGTGGCCAGCCAGGTTCCTCCTCCGGCGGGCATATCTGTACGGGTGCCTGTGTGTGACCCGCGGTTGGAGAGAAAATGCAAGTCAGCACCTTCCTGAATGTGTCTCTGTCATTTCTCTATGCCGATCTAGGGAGCCAGACAATGACACACCTGAGTGTGAGACATGTTCCTGCTCTACCACTGATAGCCTTTCTGAACGTCCTGGGTCTCAATTTCCACATCTAACAAGAGGAATAGTACGATGTTTGGGGTTTGATTCAAATACTCCAGCACACTACAACAAAAGATATTGGGGGTATAGAAGAAACAAGATTGAGTTTCAATTGTGAGTTGACAACTGTTGAAACCCCATGCTGGGTCCCTAGGGGTTCATTTTACCATTCTCTCTAGTTTGGGGCATGTTTGAAAATTGTCATAAGGATCCACTTGAAAAAATAAGGACCAGGGAGAAAAACAGTATCTTACTCGTACGGTTTCTGTGAAAACCAGCGACGATATGACAATAACAGCTGCAGCAGCACCAGAACAATTTACTGGGCGCTTACGGAGTGGCAGGCACCCAGCAGGATCCTGGTAAGTTCCTCCCCACTCTTCCGTGCGTCTGTAGGCCAATGGCAGCAAGTGCCTACAAGTAAGGGAATCCCGGGCCTCCCCGCAAACTCCTCCCCTTTTTCTCCGCCCTCCGCGGCCCCTCCTTCCGAGGAAGAGCTGGGCTGGGGCCCAGCAGGTGTGGGGTTAAGGCAGCCTGTCCCGGGCCCCTGGAACAGCAGCGGCAGCGGCAACTGCACCAGCAGTGGCCGGGGCAGACCTGGCCCCGGGCCAGCTGGCTGGGAGCCCCAGGAGCGAGAAAGGGCGGAGGAAGGGGAGGAAGAGGGGAAAGAGGAGGAGGAGGAGGAAAGGAGCAGTCAGCAGGCCCGAGGAGGCAGGACTTCCTGGCGTGGGGGTTGTCAACAGCCCCGAAAGAGAAAGACCGAGAGGAGCGGAGGGAGACCCAGCGGTGCCACGCGGAAGGAGACTTGGGGGAGCCACGCGCCGCGACGACCACCGAGGCGGCTCCACCTGCAGGGTCGGGGGCTAAGCTGCCCCCTCCCGCATCGGTCCGCAGACCCTTGGGGCTTCGGAGGCCGCGCCTGGGCTCCGCCAAGGAGGCGGGGGTTCCTTCTTTTCTGGACAGCAAACTTTCCGCGGAGATGCCTTTCGGGGCGAGGTGCGTCCCCCGAAGAGGACCGGCCAGCCTCTGATTGCCGCCTGCGTCCCCGAGCTGCTGGGGCCAGAAGGCCCCGGGGAAGGGACAACCCAACATCTTAGGCGGCCGGGAACCCCGGCCCAGCTCGGTGGCCGCGGCCGAGAGGTAGGGCTCTGGGTTGGGCGGGGCGGCGGGGCAGGGCCGCCTCAGGGATGGGGGAGCTGGGGTGCAGGGGGCCTCGGTGGCCCAGCACAGGCCTCCCGGTGGCCTGGCCGGGCTGAGGAACGGCTTCACTCCTGTTCACGCAGGCCTTGGAGCCCTTGCTCTTGGGACGACTTGGGTCTCGTGAGTTTGAATCCCAGCGAGAAATGCCCAACTTTGGGTCTGGGCCGCCTCTTCCTGCTCTCTGCGCCCGCCCGGATCTGTCCCCTCTGCTCTGGTCTCTGTCATTTCTGTCTCTTTGTCTCTGGCGGTTTCCCCTTCCTCCCCCCATTCCGCTCCCCAGAGAGGAAGCCCCGGAGGTGGCCTGCCCACTGCTTTCTCACACATTCTCTCTCTCTCTTTCTCTCTCCAGTTTGCAAACTCAGCTCTGGAGTTCGGCGGTGGCAGCGACAGCAGCAGGAAAAACCTGCCCCTGACCCCCCAGCTCCCGTCGCCTCCCCTACCCTGTTCTCCCTTTCACCAGCCAGGCACCCCCAGTTCCCGTAAGGCCCTCCTGCCATGTCGGACCCAGACATCCCCAGGGGCCCTGATGTCCCCACCATGTGGCCCCCCTGTTCCAGGGGTGCCTGAGCCCCTCGAAGAGCCGCCACCGCCCCCCTGCCCACCTTGGCCCAGTCCTGAGCCCCAGGGACCATGAGTGGGGGCAAGAAGAAGAGTAGTTTCCAAATCACCAGCGTCACCACGGACTACGAGGGTCCGGGGAGCCCGGGGAGTCCAGATTCCCCTGCCCTGCCGGCCCCCACTGGCCCCCCGCCCCGCGTGCCCAACGAGGAGCCCAACCCCGAGCCAGGGGGCAAGGGCACCCCCCGGAATGGCTCCCCACCGCCTGGGGCCCCCGCCTCCCGTTTCCGGGTGGTGAAGCTGCCCCAAGGCCTGGGAGAGCCTTATCGCCGAGGCCGTTGGACATGTGTGGATGTTTACGAGAGAGACCTGGAGCCCCCTAGCTTTGGCCGGCTCCTGGAAGGGATTCGAGGGGCCTCAGGGGGCAACGGGGGCAGGTCTTTGGATTCCAGGTTGGAGCTGGCCAGCTTAGGCCTGGCCACCCCTACCCCACAGCCAGGCCTGTCTCAGGGCCCCACCTCCTGGCTCCGCCCGCCCCCCACCTCCCCTGGACCTCAGGCCCGCTCCTTCACCGGGGGGCTGGGCCAGCTGGCAGTGCCCGGCAAGGCCAAGTTGGAGACAACCCCCCTGTCAGCCTCCCTGCCCCAGCAGCGCCCCCCAGAGGCCGGGACGGGGGATAGCGCGGGCACTTCCCGGGCTGCCACGCCCCTGCCCTCTTTGAGGGTAGAAGTGGAGGCAGGGGGCTCAACAGCAGGGACCCCTCCACTGTCGCGTGCAAAGGATGGAGCTCTGCGGCTGAGGATGGAGTTGGTTGCTCCAGAGGAGATGGGGCAGGTAAGAGCTGGGTTCAGGGTTGGGGGAGACACCTGAGGGGTGGTGCTTGTCGATTTTGACCTTGGCCTCCACTTCCATACTGACCTCTCCCCGCTCCATCGTCACCTGTCCGTCACATCAGACAGCCCCTTTTTTTTTCTTCCTGCTCTCTCACTTGGAAGTCCATTCCT